ACCAGTTATCTCATGCTGATCACAAGTTCTGATTGGCAGTCACAGATGGGATTAATGAAACACGGGGAAGCTAATTACTGCTTCATAAATGCACTCTGCATGATGGGCAACAGCTTTTAAGTCTCTGAGACAGAAAAGAATATAAGGAGAGTCAGAAAGTAAAGAAGCTGGACTCCAGGACTTAGCTGTTCCCTGGGCAGCAGCCCTGCTCATGCTTCCCTGACTGCTAACTGCTGGCCCCACAAGATTCATTTAACACTACCCCAACCCAGGTGTCTTCTCTAGTTCAGCTATGCTTCTGCTTCTGCACTTCTCAGGCTTGCCAGGTTGCAAAGTATTTCCCAGGAAGCATCTCCAGAGCAGCGATGCCGGCACATACATCCTTAATGTAAACTACCCAACAGTGTGTATGACTCAGATCCATTAAGAACTGAGGTGAAACCAGCTGGTAGGGTGGGAACACCTGGAATCCTAGCAAAGGGATGCTTCCCAGTGAAGCAAAGCGGTGCTGTGATAATGAACACCATGCCACTCAGGGCTGCATAGCTAGACTCTCTCAGAAACAAAGCAAGCTTTAAATCAACAAAGGCTTTCAATCTTTCTGATGTTTCTTGGCATTTCTATTTCTTCATTCAACTAAACACATATTAGAAGATAGGCAGACTGGTGGAGAGGAAACACAGGAAGCCATTCAAATTAGGCTATCAAAATCTGCGGTTCAGAGATTTGCTTGGCTGGCAGCCTAGGAAGTCATGGTTGGAAGTGAGGAGCTCATGTGCGAGAAGTCAACTTAGGAAGATGAAGCCTGCAGTGCCTGACACAGTTCTCAGCTGACCTTGGGCAACACCTCCTCTAGAGCAAAGCAGACAAGACCTGTCTGGAATTTACACATTTAAGAAAAACAGACCTGGTTTTTCAGTTCAGGAAAGAACCCCCCCCCCCTTCCTTCGTTCCTTCCCTCTCCCTCTCTCTGGAAGAAAGAGACCAATCAAACCAAGGTGCTGACACGGTTAACAGCAGTAAAGCCACTAAAGGGACCGAGTAGGACCAAAACCCACTTGATAAAGCAACCTCAGTATCTCCTCAAAATCCAAACCAATGCTAGCTGCACAGCTGTACAAGAATATTTCCTCCAGAACCTTTATGGAGGCAGATGCTTGCTTCTGCCAGCCACTGGAGACATAGCACTAAGCCACATGGGACATCCTTTCATACAATGGGTGAGAGAGAAGTATGGATGCCTCCATGCTGGCTCTGTTCTGTTAACTCTCTTCTTTTCTAGCTCTTTATCACAGAAAAGGTCACCTAAGTTAACCCCTCTACCCCCTGCCCGAAAGGCTAAGAACTAGGCAGGGAGATGCTACATAAGTGTGAGGACCTGAATTCATGTACCTGGATCACCCTCCAACCCACACCCCACCCCGCCCAATAAACACCAGCATGGTAGCAAATGCATCTGTAATTCTAGTTCCTATGGGGAATATGGGCGGCAGAAGCAGGAGAATCCCCAGGAACTGGCAGGGGCGGGGAAGAAGGTGAAACAATTTTTTCTCTCTACACC